GAGCCGGGCTCGCGGGGCGCGGCGGGGGGGGTGGCGTCGCCCGCCTCTCCTCAGCATCGCCTTAGCCCGCCTGCTCCGGCCCGCTGCCCCCACCACTCGGTTGCCCCCGGCCCTGCCTGCCAACATCCGTGCCCCGAAGCGCGGGCATCCGTCTCCTCTCACAGGGTCTGTCTGGGCCTGCTCCCAGCGAGCTTGGAAGAGGTAATGGCAGAATTCCTTGCGCTGCCTCAGGGAGGGCCAGTGAGGTGATGCCCTGTTCCTGATAAAATGGCACAAAAAAGTGGGTGCCTTCGTGATATGGACTAACCTGACAAATACCCTCTTCAACAGATACTGGAGGCTGGAGGCCCAGCTCTGCACTAGCTTCACACACGCCCATGAAGGCACTTGCCCAGATCTGGGCCCCGCTTACCTTCAGGAGCCCGTCGAGCAGCAGCGTTAGGCAGGTATGTTTGTTGGAGGCCTCCAGTCCTGCTTATGACAAAGCAAGGCCACCCTGTGACAGAGGTCTGTACACCTAGGGACCCTGCATCGGTGGTGGGACATAGCATATGTTGTTTTCTGAGTCTTCCATCCTGTTTTTCTGTGAAGCACACTCCTGAATGCTAGCTATGTAACGCTGCTGGTTGATGACCTCAGGTTTCCCTGTTACTGGAGGTGCTTCAGTGTAACAAAAATTAAACACCAAAAGTTTGAATATTACAGCAGGCGACAGCACTGGACTTAGTCACATTCCATCATATGGCCAGCTTTATGAGATGAAATCATTATTTTTATGCCCTTTTGCAGACAATACATAGATCCCCACATAAAGACTAAAAATGAAAAATGTGATGTGTAATATTTAAAAGTTCACTTAAATGAGTTTCTCCATGAACATTTCTTACAGTGAATGATAAACACAGTTGGTTCCTCAGGCCTTTTATTGGAAACTATTTCTTTCTACTGCAGCTAGGTGATGGTGATTACTTTGTATATAAGGGAAGATATGTGACGTCAAGTGCTCTTGGGCAGGACTTGCTCATAAATATGCAAATTTGAGACTTGTAGCTATTCTTGAGTGTAAAAAGTAATCTTTCTCATGATAGCAAAAGTGAAAAGCTGTCTTAATGTAATTATATTGCATTCCAAACAGATAGATATCAATGTTCACTATAATAGCTGTGTGTCCAACTTGATGTGCTTTTTGTTTGCCCTGGGTTAGCTATACCAGTGGCTTAGCACCAAGTCAAATTCCATGTACGTGCAAAGGCCCTTCATGGAAACACCACTTTGTGGGGTTTTATTCTTGTTTCTTGTCTAGTTGTTAAGATTTATGTTAAGATTCACAAACTACAGAATAGTCACTTGCTACTAAGAGGGTATTTTTTATGATGGTTTTCTGTGGTGACTTATCTCACTCTACCCTAACTACTTGACTGGTATTTTGGTTCACTTTTGAAGATGAAAACTTGAGCATTAGATAAACAGTAACGCATGCATACTTTACGCAGAACTAAAGGATGTTCTATATAATCTGTAGATGGGTTGTTTAACCATTTGGCAAATCGCATTTGAACTCATATTATTAATTCTCCAAATTGTCAACTTGATGAAATACCCTCATGTACATAAGGAAGTTTTCACTTTCTCAAACGATACACCAAAAGCAGTATTCCCAGCTTGTTAGGGCAGGTATGTGTTGTTCTCTTCTTGAAGTTACTGCAGCTGCAAGGATTATACTACAACTGACCTCTCAAAGGTCAAAGTACTGCTGTGGCATCATGATAGAGTACATTCTTCCAAAATTTGTTATAAATTGGGTAAATAACGAAAGCAAGTTAATTCAGAATGAAAAACCAAGGTTGTTGGTTTTTGTGTTTGTTGTTTTTTTTTTTATTTGGGTGAATTAATTTCAGTATATAAGAATGACAGGACCAGAGTTTTTGCAGATTTGCAAAACCGTAAGGTTAGCTTTTAAAAGGCATGTAGTTATTTTCTCAGCTTTTGGAGTTTGCTTCTAGGTTTGTCTCATCATACAGAATACGATTAATTCTGCAGCCTGTTCTCCTCCTCCCACCTAGGAGAGACTTGAGGGTTGCATAGAGGAAGTAAAAAAAGATATTTTGCATCATTTAATTATGAGCCCTTTAGCTGCCTGAGTGATGTTAATCGAGTCCCGAAAAATGTGTCTTGTCTGCCTTAGGCAGCATAAAATGGTTGAGCTCAGAGGAGAAAAAAGGCACATGGAGAGATTGGAACAGGGTGTTTGCACTTGACAAATGAGACAAGCATGACAAAATTTACTGACAAAATACTAACATTTCTTCTGAAAAGCTTGATGTTATCAGAAAAGAAGGTTTCACTGTACCATTTGAAAAGAAAAACCAAACAAATACACATTGTCAAAGCCTTACAAGCTAATCAGGCTCTGTTGTTCTTTCCAGAGGTTGCGTATTGGTGCAACAGGGGTATATCTTTAAGTGTTCCTCCACTAAATGAAACAAATCACAGTGCTCTATTGCTTCAGTTTCCATCCTTGAATTTCCACTGTTCTTGATGTTATTCCCCTTTCATAATCATGGCAGTGACAAAGGGTAAGGCTCCTATATCTAATGGCAGCCCCCTAACCCTTAGAAAGTCAGAACAAAGAATGACTTGTAAGGTTCTGTTGTTAAGGTGAAAGACTAGAAGTTTATTACAAGTATAGGGGCTGATCCTGTTCCCACTGAAGTCTGGGAGTTGGGCTTATGGAACAGGAAACTTCTCTCAGGGAATCTTAGCTGTCCTCAGACTCTTCATCTGTCCAGCTCTCTTGGCTATTCTTTCTAAGCCTAGAGCTCCAGAGGTGGAAATTCTCATATTTTGTAAAGTGTACCTAGAAAAGTAAGGTCTGATCCCACCAAATGGTCAGAGCTTGTAAATAAGCATGCCCTAGTTTTGGGTATTGACTAATTTTACAGACCTAAATGCTCTGTTTTTGTTTGCTTGTTTGGTTGGTTGGTTGGGTTTGTTAATATCTTGAGTACCACCTTAGGCATCAGATTAAATGTATAAACTGTGAGTGAGATAGGAGTAGGACTTAGTTATGATGAACAAAATACAGCAGCTGACTTAGTGCTAGGCAACCCCACTGCAGTCAGTCAGGAAAATTGTTGATTACAAGCTAAAAGCATTACAAGTCTTATTCTGCTAATAAGATGAACAGCACAATGAGGCAAGTGGAGTAAGTATTGTTTACCCAGAATCTCCATTCCCTAGTACTGTATCAAGCTACTAGTCTGAGTGTATTGATAGATATCATACACAAAATTACATCTCCTTCAGACAGAACAAAGAAATGGAGTATAAACCCAGGGAGGACTGCCTTGTTTTCTGTTGCACCAAACTAAGTGTATTAGATTCAAAGACTTCTGTTCAATTATCTTGACTTGTAACCAGCAAGGCTTCTAGTCTTGGCATTCCTATGCTAGTTTTGCAGAAAAGATGCCTCCCCATCTTTGAGAGAACAGAAAGACAAAAGCAACTTTGCTAATAGAATGTCTCCTAGAATGACAGAATCATATTTCAGGAATATAATGATATTTATTTGATCATCTTAATATTTTCCAACATAAGCCTTAAGATTTCTAAATTCACGTTAGAATTCAGATCACAAACTACAGTGATTTGATGAAATGCAAGAACCCTGTGGAAGGCTGTATTTTTCTTTAAATATGACAAAAGGAGTATTTATTTTGAGTACAGAACTATCTCATTTTTAAAAAATGCATGGCTTTGTAGAGTTTTTTTCAGAAGTAAAATTCATGAGGAAGCATCAACGTCTTTAAAGCCTTGTTTAAATCTCAGGTCTACTTTACACTCGTAGTTTTTGGTAGCAAACATGACACAGAACACAAATAATTCCACTACCATTAAGTAAAAACTCTTCTAGACTAAAATGAACTTACTTCATACAAAGCTGAAACTATTCACAATGTGTATATGCAGTGATGTAGGAAAATATAAAGTTCAGGTTGTGGTTTAGCTCAGAAAATATATTACTTTTAAGGATTAAGAAAACTAGAGAGAGAAGCAGCAAGTCTTCAATTCCTACTGCTGACATGTCAAAACAAACCTATAGAAGGAGGTATCAAGATAAAGACTGCTTGCTTAACGTACGTACACCGATAAAGTGAAGTCTGTCCATGAATAAGTCAACAAACTGTGACTGCAGTCTATTAGAAACTTAAGTATGTTGGCATGCTCTGATGTTAAAGACGGTGTATGTGGCTTGTGTCTTTCACTGATTTTGTAAGTGCTTTTGCACAGGAAAACACAATTTATAAAGTAAGTTAAAAGATTGTGTTCAGGTCTCTCCCAGATATCTTCCTATGTATAAAGCTTGAAAAACAAATATTCAGTACCTGAAACAAAAAACCCCAAAAATATGACAAGTACATTACAGTCTGCAATATATTTCAGGCAAATAATTTTTCAGGTACTGCTCTCACATTGACTGCATAACCGCAGAGTTCATAAAAATGACTAAATGGTGATTTATGCATAGTAACTTCCTTGGCAGTAATTGTTATGCCACGGAAAACTTATTTACTGATTGCTGACACCCATACAATAACATAAGGTTTTTTTATTGCATGAACCAATCAATCAGTGTGAAATCAACGGTGAAAACAGAAAATACAAACTTCCTTTTTCCTGTATTTCTAAAGGTAATATATAAGATATAATGTTGTCACTGAGAAGTGGGTCTCTGCTCTGAAATGTAGAACAGAATAATGTGGGATGACCTAGAAACTGTACAGTTTCTGTGGTTACAGAGACTTACAGTAAAATCATGCTGCAAACATGAGGCAGCAAAACATAAATTGCTATGTTAAATATGTACATTGGCTCACGCATTTGTCTTTAGAATCACAAAGAATTCAAGAAATGTCAACATATTAATTCTGAAAATCAGATCAACAACAACAACAACAAAAGAAAATCACCCTAAATGTGTGGCACTATTTCAGTTCTCAAAGGCTGTACTTAATCCACAGGATCTACAGTGAACTTGTAAAGACTGAATAACACATCAATATTCCCAGCACGAGCTCAGTAACTTCATAACTGTTCTATTGTTTTATTTATGAATATTACAGATCAAGCCTGCTCAAGTTCCACAAGGACTCCATGGCAATCTTTAGGGTGAAGAAAAATCACAGGTTTGCCATGTGCACCTATTTTTGGCTCTTCACTCAATATTCGTATCTTTTTTTTCTTCAGTTCTGTCATAGCTGCTTTTATGTCGTCCACCTTATAAAAGAAAAATACAGTTCACACAAATTAACGTATTACACTGTATTATGCACATTCTACATTTAGGAGCAATAATATAGGTCCTTACTAAAATGTTCTTTGTAAATTCTAATATAATTCTGAAAATAAATTAACTCATAAAACATTTTTAAAATATCTAGTAACAAAAACCCTACAGAAGTTTGCATTTGTTATTTGAAGATTTTATAAAATATTGTTTACATTGATTGTGCTATACTTAAGACATTCTTATTCATTCAAATAACTTACGCACAAATCCCATCTATTTTTTTAATGTAGTTACTTTATAAGGACTCCATAAATAATCTAATCTCTGCAGTACTATTAATAAGAACCATACTGCTTTCAAACTATCAATAACTGAAGAATGCCTCCCTGTCTAATTGATGACAGAACACTGACTCATTAAATGTGGGTGAAAAGGAAGAGCAATGGGCAGAAGGCAAAAGGAAAGTCCATTTAGATTTATATATCCTCCTTCCGAGTAGGTTAAGTTTCATAAAGTTTCCTAAATAAAACATTGGAATTATCAGAAACATACCCAGACTATGACCTGGGTTTCCTATTGAACATAATAGCTTTTAATGTAATATTTCATTAGTTTCCTGCAAAATTAATAAAAATATGTCTGCGCTGTGTAATGTGATCTTAAGTCTGATGTCATCTCTTCAGATGAAATTCGAATTTTCCCACACCTTAAATGCATTCATTCTTTGAAATAATACAATTAACACTCAGATTAGCAAATACAATAGTCAATAATCAATAAAGACCTAGAATTAAAATAATAGCCTTGAAGGAAGGCTGAATACTTGGTGAATACACTTGGATGATACCATTGTTTGAAAGAAGGAAATACTTAGCTTCAGTTCAGAGGAACAGACATCAGTTAATTCCTACTCATTTCCAGCAGTTTTGTTCATGAAAATTCTGAACTCACTACAGTTCTTCCTACACACAGCTACCAGACTGCTAAAAAAAAAAAGATAATACACTGGTTTACTGTAAAACTGTCAAGTTTTACGTAAGTAAAACAGTACACGTAACGTGTACCATAGGCCCCTCCGGGTTGTCTCCCCAAGCAGACAAGCCACTGCAGGTGCTGCTCCAGTCCTGCAGAGATGGCCAGAAGAGGAACTGTGTCTGGGCTCAGCTGGAATGAATTACTGCATCTCCAAGAAAGCAGAGAGAGTAAACAGTGGAAGGCCTGTGGGTGCACCCATGTTAGGAGAGCATCAGGCTCGGATTTCTTACTCTACCAAGTGTCAGCATGCTTTTCATTGCAGGTATTAAATTCAATTGTAGCTGGTCAGGAATAATTTAATTTCTTCTTAAAATGCTTATTTTGTCTGAAACAAACTCCCTATCAAAATACCTGTCTAAAATTTTCCTTCAAATAATAAGACATAAGAAGGAAATAAAAAGCATTTTGAACTTGTCATGCTTCCTCTCCAGTATGGAACGAATTTTTACAATTCAGCTTTTTGTGATAAAATTGTTCATTGAAAGATATTTCTATGTATTTCTAGAAAATATTTTTTAAATTTAAAATGAACAATCAGTTGACACTGAAGTTCTTTTACAGTTTTTCTGAAAACCATTTTTGTTCAACTTCAGAAGATTACATATCTTTAAAATTGTAAGACTTTCCATTCTGACGAGAATGGAAAATTGGAGGGGGGAGGTTAATACATTTTCAATTGACTACAGCAGTGACAAAATCTGTTTTCAGTCCCACTTAAACAGCAGGACCACAGTGCATTGCTTTTTTCTCCACGTAAATTGTTCTATAATCTTCCATTTGCTTTTTTGTGGCAACAAACATGAGGGACTCAGTATATCTTATTTTTTTTTCCCCCTAGAGAATCTATGAGTGAGTTACAAGACTTCATTTAGGAAAATCGGGCTGCAAGTAACACTGGCTCACCCAATTAATGGAAATTAACTGCTAGATTATGACTCCTGGCTTGCTTGATCTACTGTATACAGTTATGAATTTTCTTCTTTAACACAACACTGTTATGTTGTCCAACATACCCTATTCTTCTCAATTTTCATAGTAACAATATGATTTCCTTTGACAGGCATCTTTGGTTTATCTGCAACAAGATAATCTCATAAAAAAATGGAGATCTACTACAACAATTTCAGCTAGTAACAAATATTTCTTGAAATGTCTTAAAATGGATATACTTGAAACCCTTGGGAGCTTTGAGCTCTTTTTGCTGAGAAATGCCTACAACTTTCTCTTGTACCTATAAGTAAATACCACTGGTCTTACAGAGGGCTGGAGGTTATTTTTTTTGTCTTATTGCAAATCACTTCTTTCTTCTACATCCACCGTTTCCTAAGTTCAGCTGAGGTCTTTCACATTTCTATAACAGAACTGCTTAGGAATACAATTTAGGGTCAATTTAAACAATTAACTTTCTTATTCCTGAACATCTGCAAGTAGGAAAAGTTAATGTAAGAAAAATTTTTATTCTGTGTGTATGCAAAATTTCCACTGGTCTTTATAGATGTATTCTGAAAACAATTTTTACTCACATCAGTCATTCCATTACTTTTTATTGTTACACTTTGCATGAAATAATAAAGTTTGCAAGACTCAGATCTGTAAAATATTAAAACCGTGTATCATAGGCAGCAGCATGAAATTTTGCATCAGATATCTACACTAAAACATGAGTATTCTAAATAAAAGAACTACCTTACCCAGCACCTTCACATTTTGTGTACTACCAGACCAATCTCTCTGTGATGAACAAGGAAGAACAAGAGATAAGAAACTCTGGAGACTTTACTTCTGTTTGATAAGTACAACTGACAACCTTTTTTGAGTTCTGTACACAACTATTATTAACTAAATATCAAACAGGAAGAAACTTCTGAAAAGCTAAACTATGCTTTAGCTTAAACGTACTCCATCTTTTTCCAGTGTATGTCCTTTCTATGCCAGGAATTTGACACCTGTCTAACACTCTTCACAAGCCCTTGGGCTTGTCCAACTTCCACATTTGATATTTAACCCCCCTTCCCAATTTAATCTTTATAGCATAAAAGCAGAAATAATTATCACATAGCTCATGGAATTTAGTTGTGATTTCCAAAACAGAAAAAAGGCACATTTAATACTTCTTCTTATGCAATATAAATTCTCACAAATGTGACAGCCTTATATATTTGTTCTTGACACAGGTCAAACCTATGAAAAACATTATGCATATTTTAATATCACTATCTTATTATATGATATACTGTGTTAAAATACCTCAATGCAGATATGATGCATTCCTCCAGTCTTGTTTTTTTGCAGAAAGCCTGAAATGGGACTTTTCTCTCCTAAAGGATGTAGAAGCTCCAGCTTGGTATTTCCCAGCTCCACAAAAACAGTGTAGACACCATGTTCAGGAAGAGCAACAGTCTCGCTCACCTGTGCTCCTAACACATCTTTATACAAGGACTGAGCTTTCTCCAAATCAGGTACTGCAATTGCTACATGATTAAGTCGGCCCAGTTTCCACAAACAGCTTGGAATGTTTTGAGAAAAAGAATTTGATGATGATAGAGTTCGTATTGTCTTCGCTGAAGTCTGAAATCTGGTAAGAAGCCCTGAAAAAAGTGAATAGCACCAATATAATGCTTTTGAGAGAGTATCAAGCTCTTTCCCCTTTTAACGAGGTCTACATAACTCCTACGTCATAAGCACACCAGCGTGCAAAGCTAAAGGTAGACTGAGACCAAAGAAATAATTATTCTGTAGTACTAACAGCTCAATTATTTTTTTCAGAGACTCTGCCATTATTCAGAAGTATAAAAAAACCCCAAACACACAAATTTGGTGTAAATGCTTACATATGCCTGTTAAAAAGAGCAAAGCACGGCCAAATGCAGTGGTCTACTGTATAATGTACTTAAAAGTGACTCTGGAATTTTTCAGAGCTTCTTACAAATTAGGGTAAGAAATGAGGATATGCCTATACATCTAGAAATTATAACAAACAAAAAAACCAGAACAAAACCTTAGACAGAACTGATAACTGCAAGATCCAAAAGATAAAAGCCTTACGCTCTCAGCTGTCAGTACTAACTCTGTCAAGGAAATAAATGTCATGCTGTATCTGAGGCTTAAAGAATCCGAGAATCTCCTGAGTTTGATTTATTTTTTCTTTCTCCAATACTCAAAAAAGTATGACTTAAGTCATTTACCCTTCTTACTTTTCACATGCCATACAGGTCTTATACTTAACTTCACTGGTTTGTCTCAAGACACTTAGAAATATTTCAATTCTAAGTACTGTGAACAATATCATGTCCAACTGACCAATAACAGTTTAGAAGATTATCTTTACAAGGTCAAAATCAAAATAGCTTTTCAGCGCAACTAGTGCCACAGGCTTCAGCGTGACTTACAAAAGAATATGATTTGTCTCAACAGAAATGAAAAGGTAATTATAAAAAAAATATTGCATGACCCTGTGATATAAAGGTAAGGGCGACCATGTACACAAAAGATGGACAAGTCATGGAGAAACTTAGTGCCATGAAAATATGCTTAGATATCTACAGAACTCTTCCCAGACTGCTCTGACAAGGCGGTACTGAATTTTGCACTGTGTCCAATTGCTGTGGATGAGCATACTAACAAATTAATTACATTACAAATTAATCTGTCAGAGTACTAGAATCTGGAGGGATTGAGGGTAGGAGAGAAATTGTGATCTATCAGTTGCTTCTAGCATCAGAATTAGAACTAGATGAAAGGATATTGTATTGGGTTTTCTGTGAGGGGTTTTAGTTTGTGTTTTGGTAGTGTGGGAGGCCTATGGAGATAGCCCTGTAAGAAGCTACTAGAAAGCTCCTCCAGCTCTAAAATGTCAGACCCACCTCTGACCCAGGCCAAGCCAATTAGCGACCCCATGAATTCATGTATTTAAGGGGGGGGTGCAGCATATGGCCTGCTCTCTCTTCCATCAGCCCCAAACAGTGCGGTCCCAGGTGTGGACCCAGCTGTGGGCCCTGCGCTGCCCGGCGCAGCCAGGCTGGGCCAACCCAGCTCCAACTTAAGCTCAAGCCCCGCTGCAGGTCTAGCCCAAAAGAGAGAGACAGGAACTTTTCAGAACCATCAGAAGGGACCTGCAGTGGAAAAAGAAGAGGGACATGGGAACAACTTTTAAAAATATCAAGGTCAGTGAAGGAAGAAAGGAGATGGAGGAGGAGGAGGTGCGTGGAGCCAACATTCCCCCTGCAGCCTGTGGTGAGAGTGCAGGTCAACCCCTCTGCAGCCCGTGGAGCTTCACTGGTGGGGCAGAGCCACATAAGAACGTGGCTGCCCCTGAAGAGGCCATGACTCCGGACAGTGTGTGCTGGAGCAGTTCCTTGTAACGAAACTGCAACCCTGGGCAGACCCACACTGGAGCTTTGTGGACTTGGGCTGAAGCAGTTCATGTGTGAGGGAACTGCAGCTGTGGGCAGACCCACATTTGAACTTCTGTGGAGGACTTTTCTCCTGTGGTAAGGGTGCCACGTGGAAGCAGAGGGAGAGTGGGATGAGTCTTCCCTCCCCCCTGAAGAGGAAGGAGCAGCAGAGAACCCACGGGATGAACTCACTGCAACCACTATTCCCGTCCCCCTACAGCACTGGACAAAGTAGGGGGGGGAGGAGTCTAAGAAACCAGGAACAAAACTGAGCCCAAGAAGAAGGGACAGAATTGTTTTGGTTTTTTCTCCCCGTGATGAGTCTGCCTTTTGACCGTGACCATTACGTGGTGAGTAAAGCCCTCCCAGTCCCTTTGTCTGGCCCTCTTTTGTGGGTATCATGGTGCTCAGTTGCCCACTGGGCCTAAACCACAATAGATCTATTAATAAAACCCACATTTTGATTTCATGCCAGTTTGCTTTAGGCCATGTCAGAGTTCTCAATGCCTCAAGGCCAAGCTAGAGGCATCTCAACATTTTGTAAGTCTTTGAGGCATTCTTAGCTTTAAATTCACAAGTGTGCTATTTTGCTAAGAGATCGTGCCACAGATGCACTAAGATGTACTTTGTAAAGGTTAGCAGTAGCTGTAAGTTTAGTAGCAGCTGTAATTTATCGGTAGGATTTTCACTGTAGGAAACTGGGAACTACCCATGGCAGGGGGATTGGACCAGATGATCTTTAAGGTCTCTTCCAGCCTAAACCATTCTGTGATTTCACAGGAATTCAAGACTCAACAGCTATCAGTTAATTTTTCTTCACAAAGACAACTGATGCAGTTCTTAAATCTAAGCCTCTCTGAGCACTGTGCTGTGATGGAAGAAGTGGTTGTGTGTATCTGAGACTTAAAATTACAAGACGGACATACTCCCAACGACTTAGTATCACAAAAGTGAGTCTACTAAGAATCCTTTCACAATGCTAAATCAGCACCCTACATTAATTATTTCCAGAAACTTGTCCAGTTCTGCAAGTAACTGCCTTGGAGTATTTCTTGCCAGCCTTTCACACAGTGCATCCTGTCATCTCCTTCATCACAGCCAGAGGTCCTGGACAGTTCTTTTCCACTTTTTACCTTTAGGCTATCATACTGGCATAGTAGAGCAACTCACTATTTCCAAGCACTTCTCAAATTTTTACACGTTAAAAAAAAAATCCCCTAGCAGCTTCTACGCAGAAGAAAAGCTCTTGGTTTTGTATTGTCTATGCTGAAACTGTTTTGTAGATCGACTTGCCATCTAAATACAGCTGTATCTGGGGCGAACAAATCAATTGCCTGAGGAAGCAATACTACGCAGTGCTTCATAATGTACAAAATGAGAAACGTGCAGTATCTAGTTGGCATAATTAGAGGCATGGATAATTAACTAGGCTAGAGTTTGACCAGATGACCAGAGTAAATACTGCACTAAAAAACTGGAAAGAAAACCCAAAAAAACCCCACATGCCATATAGTCTTTCCTGTCCACCTACAATTCTACCTAAGTAGCTCTGTTACCTACAATAATTTCTTAAGACCATATTGAATTCTTGCTGAAGCAAGAGATGCTCTTCCACTTAGAGGAGGTCAGTATTCTCCAAGAGAAAAATTCTGTGAAAGATAAAGACCACTTACTATATAATTTACTTTGTTTCCTAGAGCCTTTTTTGTTTCATGCTGCCTGCCAAATATTAAGAGACCACAGTTCAGTAGAAATACTACTAATGCAGATTTCTCAAGCAATCTTTACCTATGGGAAAGCTAGGATTTTTCCTATTCCTTTTTGACATCTCCCATCTATAATTCTTGCTGTACTTCACACACACAGGGCATATGAATACATGTTTATTATTATTTTTGTCTATTTTCAAGTAAATTGACAGAAAGTAGAGACAGACTGTTACTTGGCTATTACTGAAGCAATAGCGAGAAGAACTGAAAATGCTATTTTTCTTGGGTTCTGCCCAACATAATTTGATTTTTGTGGTGTTTCCTGAAAAGATGGAAAAGTGAAGTGTATTCCTAGGATTCTTGTAAAGATAAAGATGCCCACTCATATCACAATATTATTTACGCATCTCTCCATTTCCTCCTCTCACTTAATGGATTGAGTGGTAGAACTCCATATATTTTTCCTATGAGTATGTAGGGTCAGAGGACTCTTCAGTAGGCTTGGGTTTTTTTTTACTTTATTCTATGCAGTCTTGTGAATTTATCCTGCCTCTAGTCATATGCATATAGAGCTCTAATTTTAAACCCATAATTACCAGTATGAATTGACTGAGATGAAACAAAAAGTGTGTTTTTCTTGCATTATATGGACTGGCAACTATACAGATTAGCTACTTAAAATGCTAAGCTTCTTCTAACCCAGTAATCAAAAGATGACACTGCAGTGAAAAAGCAAGCTTTTCAGCAAACTTCAGATTGAAACCCCATCACTTTCATGTTTCAGGAAAGAAACACATTTATGCATATATCACAAAACTAGTCCTATTAACTGTTACAGCTAAATTCTTCAATCATAAAAGCATTTCTCCACTGACTTACAGAATTATTCAAGTAATTATTTTATCCAATGTTTAAAAAATACTTTCTCTGCTTCTTTTGAAGCCAATGGACACTATGACTAAAGTATCTAGCCAAGTATCTGTACTGCTTGAAGAAAAACTTGCATATGCTGACAGAATTCACATGTGCGGTTGCTTCTCCTGGTATATACAGCTTTTGCCCCCACTGGTTTTTTTAAGACCTCATTTTTCAAACACTCACAACAAAATCTGATTTTTTCTAGATATTTTGCTCCTTAGAGAAGATTCAGCTGACTCTGCTCATATATGATTGCTGGCTTCCTAGCCTCAGACATACTGCAGAGTGTGTGTCACCTTCTTCAGCTTCATTTGAATATTTTTAAATTTATCTATTTGGGGTTTATTCTATTAATGGATTACTGATCTACTAGTATTATGCACATGAGAGCTTAAATATGTACAGTTGTACCAATTTAGGCTTATATTCTATAATGGAGCAGCTTATGAGCATGAAATAACAAGTGTACTGCTCGAGGTCCTCATCCTTCAAATTTTTATTTGTAGGCCTGTTGCTCCTTTTGTGGGGCAGTGTTCACTGACTTACATGGCTAAGCGATCAAACACA